GCGAGGAGGCAGGGCGGGGTTGAAAAGGAGCCGGTGGCCTGGAGCGAAGGAAGGGAAGGAGGAACAGCAGCTCTGGTTTAAGGGCAACAGCAGCCGGGCTGCGGCAGGAGAGCAGAGCAGGGAATGGGGCCTTGGTTTCCACAGGGAATCGGGAACGGGTTCTGCAGGCAGCAGGGCACAGTTTCTACCGGGAATGGGAACGGTTGCTGCAGCAAAGTCATTTGGTCACCCGTCCCCATGTCCTCACCCGCAGCTCTCCCAGGGCCACCCCCGGCCTCGGGGTTGGTAACAGCCCTATCTCTCCCTCCAGATGGGAGCGAGAGGTGCCTGAGCCCTTATATTGCTGGAGGAGCCTGCTCTGACTCCCCAGCCCCTGTGCAGAGGGCTTTGCACCAGTTTAGCCTCAATCCTGGTTATTTGCATGTGGTTTAACAGCAAATGGCTTGTAACAAGGAGGGGAGAGCAAGCCTGTCCCCCGCCACGTACCCACCCGTGCTTTCAGGCTCACATCCAGCAGCTCCCCTCTTGGCCTCTGTCTGCATTTCAGCTCCACAAAGGGCTCTTCCCACCCACAGCTGCCTTTGGGTCCCGAGGAAAGGAAGGGAAGGGAGCAGGTCAGGAGCCAGTGTGGGCACCGGGCTTGGTTTGGCTCTGCCCAGCTCTCACCACCTTTTTTTCCAGCAGCGCCAGGGCAGTGATGAGGCTTTTAAAGGGGTTTTTCCTTCCACAGGCTAAGCCCAGCTGTGGTTTAGGAACACTGGTCTGAAGCAACCCTCTCAGCAACCCTGTTTCTTTTACTCATTTTTGCTAGATGGATTTTTTTTTTTTCCTCTATTTCAAGCCTCACAGAGCCCCAACCCTTCCCCTGAGCAGAAACAGCCTACCTGATATTTATAACAGCCATATGGGGATTTCTGGGACACCAGTTAAATATTGCAACTGGTCTGAGCCTTTGCGTGGGACAGACCTCAGTTCTCTGTAAATAGTTGAGTCCAACAGAAAGACTTGAATGCAGTTTCCTATTTATAGCAATTTTTTCTGGTTCAAGTACACTTCCTGAGGAAACGTGGTGAGAAAAATAACACAGTATTACTCCCGTCACCACTTAAGCGAGAGCCACGTAGCTTGATGTTAACATTAAGAACTATTTCAACTTGAACGCATTGTGTCTATTTTGTAGCGTTTTGTACCAATCTATCTCCTGTGTGGTAGCCGAAGTGTGGTACAAGTAGGCTTATGACTTTAATCAAACAGGTTAACTTGCTTTATCCAGTAGGTCAGCTCTACTGCACAACACCCCCGGAAAGGCTTTGTGGACTCTGGTAATGTTTCATGAAGTAGAGCTGAAGCCACTCTAGCATCCAGCTTGTTTTGACTAAATTTGTCGATTTTGCAAGGTTCACACTTTTTGTATATGAAAACAGGGGAGCGCCTCAGATTTGCCACCTCCATTACAGTACCACTTTAGCCATTTTGTGTTTATCGGTGATACAACCCAATAAACCTGGTTTCAATGAGTCTCAGCTCTTAGTGTGTTTCTGCTGCAGAGCCTTTGAACCTCAGCTTTCCTACTCCCTTGTTCAGTATTTTTATAAGCACTTTCCCCTCCAGGAGAGGGCCATGAATGTGGGGTCGGTGCCAACTCACCACAGCCCTTTAGCATCACAACAAACCTTTCCTGCTCCCAGAAAGGTGGGATCAGTCTTTCCAGGGAATACGTGAAGAGGAAGGAATCCAAGACTTACCTCACTGCCCACAAACAATACAGCATGTAAGTTTTTCCACCCTGCCCAAGGCATCGCAACCTCAGGTAAGGTTAATGCTCAACGGATAATTAGAGCTTGCAAACAAACTTGTTAGAGGACTAAGTTTATGCTGTCATGGTGATGTAGTCAGGAAACAGTCAGGAAGGTGAACAGGTTTTGCTCAGGCATGACAGTAAGAGACCATCTTACTTCTAAGCTGAGTTGGTGAGGTGTGTAACAGCTGTGTCTTAGCTAAACTCAGCAAAAAAGCCAGGTCTAACTGCTCTGCAGGGGCAAGAGGGAGCTCATGTCACAACTGCTTTAATAAAGTGTTGCTGGGGCAGCTCTCCTCTCTGGGAAAAGTGGGAAAAACTCGCTTAGTAATAATTCTAGGACAGAAGTAAGGATTTTTTTTTTTCTTCTTCTCATACTTTATTTAGAGTTAGCCTGCATTATTCACTAAGTATTTGCACGCTTTACAATACAGTCCAGGAAACCCCCAGTGTGCCCAATGTAGACACCAACAACCAACCCCCCTCCCCACCATTGTTCTTTGGTTAGAAAAAAAGGCTTTTAAAAAAAGTCACCATCCAAATAGCAAAAAAACAACGTAGCTGCACACTAGAAGGACATGTTACAACAGATCTGCCACTGTCCAGGGCCCCGGACAGGCTGAGAACAGACATATGGCTTTTTTTTTTTTTTTCAAGTAACTGCTACAGAAGAGCTTAACTCACACTAAGCATCCAGCGCTGAGTAGAAGACTTCAGCACAAGTCAAACGCAAGCAGTCCAGGCAGACTGTGAGAACAGAACCATGAAGGCCATTGGTGTTGCACCATGGAGCAGCGCTCTACCTCCCACAGGATTGCTAACGCCACAGCGAGCTCCCAGGGGAGCTGCACACCCAGGACCCCAACCGCTGCCTAGTACCTGCAAGAGCAGGGACGGCTTCCTAGCTTAAACATAAAGCAGCTTTGCTAGCATGAGTAGGCCAGGAGTGTAGATGCTTACACCTTAGTACGACTACTGTGCATATGCTTCAGCTTCCAATAAATATCTACGTCCTCAGAACAGGAAACTCCACTTCCAACACAATAAATAAAAATATTGCATTTTCTATCGGCCTGTTTGGGAGTCAGTTTGGAATGTTGTTTTCAGTGCTAGAGAGAGTCCCACGTTAAGCGGTTAATGCTTCCAGCTCTTCAGGCTTCAACAGCTTCTTGGCAGCAATGATGGTGTTCTTCATCAGCATGGCAACTGTCACAGGCCCAACTCCCCCAGGGACCGGAGTGATGTAGCTGGCTTTCTTCTTCACCTCTGCAGGAAGGAAAGCTAGAGCTCAGCATGCGAGTCAAGAGCAGCGACACTTATCAAGCTGGCTGGCCAGTGTGAAGCTGCAACCAGTCTAACATTGCTCAAATTCCTTCAAGATTATCAGCTAAGGAACAGTAGTTTCTCAAGGTGGACTTTTTCCCCCTGTTAGGCAGGGCAGAGAACTGTAGTTTGTCCGTCCCCGCTACTGAGCAAGCTTAATTGCAAAACCCAAGCTGGGGGAAAAGCAAAAAGCAAGGTCCAATAGTGGGATTTCCAGCACAGAAATGTCAAGTCCAAGACTAGATGTGGGCTTCACATTTGCCCTTGAGGGTGGCCACAATGAAGTACTAAGTCTAAACATTCACCCTCTTTTCTTCCAGGAGGAGGTTCCAGTGTCTTTCACCCAGCACCCAGAGGTGCAGGGCTCATCACAACAGCCCATCTGGGCACCGTTGCAGCTAAGTGGTGAGCAAGGCCAGTGAATAGCAAGCCAGAAGGTAAGTTGTGTGTCTTTATTTAAAAGCAGGAGTATGTGTGATGAATTGGAGGAGAGGCAAAGCAACCGAACTGCTTAGACTCAGGGTGAGTCTCCTCTGCCTTGCAGCATAGAGCTTTCCCACGGCATACTACAGGAAGGCTGCACCCTTGCCTATGGTGCCATACTGGATGCACCAAGCAAGAGAACATAAGCATCAGTCTGCATCTGCTCAGTCGCATGAACCAGGACTGTCTCCTCCCCTTCTCAGCACCCTTGATGTTTAATGCTCAAGGAACCTGATGCAGAGCCTTTCCATACCTTCAAAATCCACATCCCCAACCAGCCTCGGTTTGGCAGTGACAGGATCCTGCACTCTCGTTATCCCCACATCAATCACTGCAGCTCCTTCTTTGATCATATCAGCTGTGATCAGATTGGGTATGCCTGCAAGGAGAAAACAGACCCACACCCTCATGGTGGTGCTAATAGCCCCCCTGGTCCTCCTCACCCCATCTTCACATTATGTTTTGACCCACCCAGGCCTTCCAGCCTCATAGAGCAGTTGGACTCTAATCTTAAGGGTCTTTTCAACCCTTCAATGATCCTATCATTCTATGAAATGCAAATCTACCCACAGTCGCACAATCCAGCGCTACTCCTTAATGTTCAGCTCAGTCAGGAATTTGAGTGGTTTACTGATAACCTGACATTTGAAGTCAGTGGCTGTGTGTTCCCGCAGAGCCAGCAACATTTTTGCACCTGCACTAAGTCAGCAAGCTGGAACGGTGTCCAAGACCACCACAACCCAGCCTGGCAGAGGCACTGACTTCACCCAGGGGCTGTAAAACCCCCAGCGTGACAGGGGTGGGGAGCAGCAGCTTGCAGCTAAGCCAGCCTTTCAGGCTGGGGTGTGTTTGTCTGGTTCTGCCAGATACTGCCTCCCCAGCTGACTGAGCCAAGGAACTCCTTCCCACCCTCCACTCAGTTAACTTTCATGCAAGCCTTCCTCTGGTCTGCTGATCACCTTTGGTGATTTATCTGTCAGCAGCACTTCTGCCATCATTACACTGCCAACACCTTCAACACCACTGTTAATCCTTCCAGCACCTTGTCTCTTCATACCCAATTTCCAACCAACGTTTTCTCTCCTCCCTCCCCACAGGCCCACACCCAGCTTCTGCTGCCAAACAGACACCCCGAATCAGCTCAGCTCCTCTGCTGATGAGCTACCTCCACACCAAGGGTACAGCCTGGAGAAGAGCACACCGAGTGACTCCTTGTCCTCTGAAGACAGCACTGCAGCTGTCCCTCAGCATTTTGACTGTCTCTAGGTAAGCAGGTGCTACCTTGATATTTTTTTTCTCCTCCCCACGTAAATACAGAACTGTCTGCACGTGTAACAGAGCCTGCCTGTAGCTGTTCTCTAGATCTGATCAGGTGCTCACTGGCACACCAACCCCTCCTGCCAGATGTTATTTTACATTTCTAAGGCAAAGCTACAAACAGCTCTGCTAGTAAGATCAAGCATGTGGCTCCTAGGCTTAATCACAGGATTAACCGGCTGGCTCAAACAGCCCCTCACCTGCTGTCCTAGCCCTCACCTAGGGCAGCTGCCAACAGCCAGGAGCCACCAGAGCTGCTTCAGCTAGGGAGGCCCCAGGACATTCAATACCAACAGGATTGTCTCCTGCAAGCAAGGATTCCCATCAGAAACACCACACAAGCCGCAGTGCGGCACCCTGTGTGCGCCTTGGCTGTGCTGTTGGAGTCAGGTCTTACCTGCTGCTGCTACCACAATATCAGCACGGATCGTGTGTTGCTTCAGCTGCTCCTTGGGAGTGTAGCGGTGGGATATTGTGACTGTGGCATCCCCTGCAAGAGTGGTTACACTGGAGCTTTAATTCACATGTACTACTCAAACCCAGACACTTCTCTAAGTCTTCCTCTTCAACACCACCTGTGTATTTATCAGGAACATCAGAGCCTGATGACCAACCCCAGGGAACAGCCTACAAAGTCAGAGGGAGGGATCTGGGATGGAAGAGGACAAGGGCTCACTGAAGATGGCTCCAAAATGCTACAAGTCTGATTACATGCAGAGTTAACTCCTCAGCCTTGACCACAGCCCATGTGATGGGCCAGAGTCCCTAAGGCGCTCCTAGGACTGGTTTAGAGCCTAAAGAGGCCAGTGTGGAGGGCTTCCTTCCACAGCTGTCTGGCATGCTCTTTTCCGAGGCAACCAAGCCCCTACCTCCCGGGCGCTCGTGCCTGCCGTCCGTATGCAGCAACATGGCGATGGGCATGCCCACATTCTTTGACCTGCCAGCCACCACCACGTTCTTCCCCAGTGTTGGGATGCCTGCAGAGGACAAGATGGAGTCTTAAGACAAACACAAGCTGGAGTTATGCCAGACAGCAGCCAAATACTGCAGGAGCAGCTTACCAGTTCTCTTAATGATCTCCCACACCCCCCCCAGGGGGTAGCTGGCAGCATGGAGTACTGGTCAAGGCACATGCGCCCCACGTTTATCACATGAAAGCCATCAACATCTTTGTCTGGAGTCAGTGTTACAAATCTTGTGCTCATCAATATGTTCTGGAAGAGAAAAAAAAAAGCTAAAACCAGGGATCAGCCAAAAACCTGCTCTTTGCAGTCAGCCAGGGCCCTGACCTGCTGCACCAGCCCCTTCAGAGTTTGGAAGCTCAAGACTTCTAGCAAGCTCAAGGCTAACAGCTCCCAGCAGAAGGGAACTGGAACCACAGTGTCACTAATGCCGAGAGGGTATTTTTAGGCAGCCTCAGTGTCACCCAAGTTCAAGTTTCTGGCTCTGGAAGCTGATACTCCCTACACAAGAACAGATTTCTTTGACCCCCAGCAACTTAACTCGCGCAGGCAGCTGTGTGATGGAGTAGCTGCATCAACTTCTTTAAGCTGCATCATGGCAGAGTGCCACCTCCCATGTCACAGGATAGCCCCTGTGCTGCTGCTCCTCCTTCTGGCACATACAAACCCTTAAAAGCTTTATGTAGAAGTGAAACAGATTGAAATCTAGCTACTCACTGGGTAAAGGAAGCTGTACTAACAGGCCATCCACACTGGCATCATTGAGTTTGCTGATTAAATCTAGTAGCTCCTCTTCAGTAATAGAAGCTGGCCTGAGGATGGTTTCACTGCCGATTCCTGCACAATCATTGAAAGCGCCACATTAGAGAGCCACGTGTACACAAGTGGGAGAGCCACTTAATCCATGCAGATTTAAGCTGCCCTGTTTCATTGCTCTACCAGATCTGATAGGCACACACCAAGGACTGTATGGTTTGTGTAACAACGAGCACCTTCCAGGCTGGAGGCCTTCACAAGCCTTGTGAGTTACGGTTAAGGACCATTACTATTGGTCTAATGGCCTGGGAAAGACTGAAAGCAGAGACCCTCTGAGTACAGGGAGAGCTTGGAGAAACCTAACCAAAGTGTGCTATGATGAAGATGCAACTGCACATCCTGTGGTCCCTCTTGACACAGCAAGAAGGGGATGTTAGCCTAGAAGTCCCAGCTGCAAAGAAGGCTTTAGCAGCACAGAACCCAAGGAGAAATTAAATCATTCATTGCCCCCTAGCCCCTTTCAGCACATTTTCTCCAGAAGCATACTTGGCTGAACACCAAGCAGGACCTTGGCTTGCAAGATTGGAAGGAGTCACAGGGTAGCAAGGCTGCTGAACAATGATTGCATCTCAGGCAGTTGAGGAAAGAAGGCAAATCAGAGCCCTGTCTGGGCTTTATATGGCCCTAGGAAGACTGAAAATCCAAACTACAGAGCTTGATGTTGCCCTAAAGGATTTAAATGGCACAACGCACATGTGAACCATGTTTATTAACTACATCCCAGTACAACAACAAAGACAGCCAGAAGAATCACAACAAATGCTGGGGCAAACGTGGACTGCCATGCAGCTGAAGTAAAAAGCTGCCAGATGGATACATCCCAAAAAGCTTCCTCCAGCACAGAGGATTCCCAACTAAAGCAAGATAAAACAGTTGCTTGCTCCACTTTTTTGGAACAGAGTGCAAGACATACCAACATCAGCAGCTGCTTTGGTTTTGTTCAGTACATAGGAGTGACTCACTGGATTTTCACCAACAAGAACAACGCTGAGGTGAGGCCTCTTGTTTCCAGCTGCTACCCACTGCTCAACCTCATGACAGGCTTCCTGCCTGATCTGCCGGGCCATGCTCCACGTTTTCAGAACAGAGCACAAGACATACCAACATCAGCAGCTGCTTTGGTTTTGTTCAGCACGTAGGAGTGACTCGCTGGATTTTCACCCACAAGAACAACGCTGAGGTGAGGCCTCTTGTTTCCAGCTGCTACCCACTGGTCAACCTCGTGACGGGCTTCCTGCCTGATCTGCCGGGCCAGCTTCCTTCCAGAAATCACAACTGCATCATTTCTGCAACAGAGAAAGTGTTACCAAAGCAGTCAGCATCATTATAACCAAATCCAAGGTCTGTGCAACACAGACCAGGAAGAACAGATGCCAACTGCAAGCCAGGGCAGAAGAGGCTCTTTTACTCAAGCTCTGTACAAAGCTATTGCACCTTTATGCCAAATCATGTTAAGAAGCATATGTCAGTCTTAGTTTACAGCTTTGCTGCCCGAAGCCAGGATCAGCAAACAAGACTGCCGGAGGGACCAAC